AAGACGCTGGCACAAGCAGTCTGTCTGCCCTGGCCGACTCCAGGCAGTGATCGCACGCCGTGCCGATGCCCTGCGAGCAGTCACACACACTTACAGCGCTTTCAATCTAACTGGAACCCCTCTCCTTCCCCCCTCCCCCCTCCCACCCCAACTCCACCGTCCTCAACACGCTGACTCCGTCATGCAGGCGGCGCGGCAACATGGGGTCCGATTAACCCTACCCCTGAGACGCATTTATATCTCGTCTACAATTAGAATGTGATCATTACCCATGTAAATGTATCGGCCTGATGATGAGATACCGAAAACATATGTTCGCCAACTGACTCTTTAGTACGAATCCGTCTCCACCTCACCTTCAATGATGTGACAACGGCTTTTGACACCGTGACATTTAATGGGCTCTGGAAAATCTTGGTGGCGTTTGTGCAAGTCTCAAACGGCTTGCACAAATGCTGCAACAATTGCTCGATGGCAGGATGACGCGTGCTACGGAGGGTGAGTTAGTCCCGAGAGACTTTGCAGTACCGCATGCGATGAGACAAGGTTGTGCAGGCAATCGCACCATCGCCGCCTTCATGTTGATTTATGCCTACTGTGAGTATCGATCTGGAGACAGCGGAAATTTCCGGCCCGCTGCATAGCTTCTCCCTACCCGGCTTGCGCAGACAAACCTAAAGTAGTCAGGACACTACGCAGCAGTGTGACCGGTGGGGTAGTTGTTTGTTTCTCCTTGAGAAACAACGTCAGATCACATGACCGGCTCAGGTGATCACAAGTGAACTCGAGAAGCTAGCCCCTATAATGGACGTAAACAAAAACAATTGTGGTTGACAGGACTGTCGAAAGTAGAGCACCTCCTAACAAAACCAGACGCCAACTTTCAAGTTGGAGACACGAAGAAGGGGGAGAGTTGTGGTGTATGTTAGAAGTGTTTCCTTGTTTCCACAAGAATGCGAAGTCACTAACTGTGTCGTTCCAAGTCAGGTTGGAAGATCAGAAATTCGGACCTCGTTTACCGACCCGTTGGGCCATAGGTCCAGGCCCTATTGGCTGCCATGTGGAGCAGTCTGAATCAGATGATAGTGGTGATCGCTGATATGATCTTAAAACTCCCCTGCGGTGGCCTCGCAGGTGGTCACAAAGTCGCGAACATCAAAAGGGGCTAGATCGCAGTTGATAGCCAGGCCCCGTATTACAGGTTGCTGGGGGGTTTATTTACTGGGGCTTTTTTGTGGGGTTGCATAGTCACATCTGACCCGTTTGGCTTCCGTTTTACGTTTGAGGTTAGGATTAGGGTACCGGTTAATGGTGTCCGATTTTCGGGTTAGGGCTATGCCCCTGAGGTTTAGGTTTTCGGGTTACGGCTAGGGGTTGAGTTTACGATTAGGTTTCAGTATTACGGTTAGGTTTTACAGTGAGGGCTATGTCTAAGGGCTACGGTTACGATTCGGTTAGGGTTAGGGCTAAGGTTGTCGTTAGGGTTAACGGTTAACGTTTAAGGCTAAGGTTGGGATTAGGGTTAAGGTCGCCATCCGCTTTCCCATTCCTGGCTACCAACTGCGATCTAACCAAAAAACTTTTAATCAGAATTTAAAAAAGCACCATGCAAGTGGCACCGCGTACCTTTGTAAGAGATGTCGCATTTACAGCAATTCCATAGTTCCAATGAACTTCTGACGGCATTTGTAAAAGCCAATTTCGGATTTTGTTGAATTATGAAATTCCCATGTAACAGGTGGCTGGAGACAGCGGCCCTTTTGTGGACAACGGTGCTTTCTTTAAAAGCAACAATTCCGAATTCAGGAGACCCTCGTGTGTGTGTGTGTGTGTGTGTGTGTGTGTGTGTTTTGCACAGAACACCCCCAAAGTGGAGGCAAGGGAATTTGTCTTGAATAATCTGCATCCTTTCACGCTGTGTTGACTGATGTGTTCCTATTCACAAGTTTAATGCTGCTGCCTACGCGCATATTCGTAATTTTTATGTTCCCTGGTAAATACCATCGAACGTAAGTGCCGCAGTTCAAGTCCGCGTCTAGTAACCGAGTAAACAGCCAGCTTTTGATAAATAGGAAGTTCAGAAAGTAAATATTTATTTGTCCTGGAAAACCTCATCAATAACGCTTTATTGCCGCCATCACTGAGGGTTAGGTGCAAATATAGTGCGGTCATACAAACCCGGGTAGAAGAACACTACGACAAGACGGACAAAGGCTGAAAACGGCTAACAAGCCAGAAATGACCATGCCGGTCTCCCCTGTCTTTGCCGGAACCGCCTCTCTCTCTCTCTCTCTCTCTCTACCCACACACATTCTACTGACATTCGGACCGTCGATTTCGACTGTGTGCGAGCGAAAGTAGAGCACCTCCTAACAAAACCAGACGCCAACTTCCAAGTTGGAGACACGAGGAATGGGGAGAGTTGTGCTGTGTAGCACACGGTGGACATTGTCGGCAACGACGATTGAACTGTCGGTGATAGCAGACTTATACAACATCTATCGCATTCTACCCTCCTCCCCCACTTGGGTGCGATGTCATGGCGAAGACAAGAAGACCGGGGCTAGGAGAGGCCGCAGGTGGATGGCGCGGCCGGACCCGCGCCTTGGCGTACCACCACACCCCTGGTCCGCAGCAGGCATTTGGCCAGGATTTTAAACAACAAAAAATTGGAGACTGTAGGGATCCCAATGTGCGTGACGAAGGCCTGCAACGGAGCTTACCACTACACCTCAGTGTTGGCATTTTTTAGGACACCCAACTAAAAAAATTTCCAAGTGGCTATTCCGCCAACTTCATCCACTTACGAAGAATTGTGAGACTTTGATTGTGAACTCCACAGAGTTTCTAAAGAGATTAAGAGGACTCACAGTTTCTGCCGAAGAGATCATGGTCTCCTTCGATGTCATCTTCCTTTTTATGTCCATACAGCTGGATTTGGCAAAACAATACACAGAGGACCTCCTGCATTCCTATGACACGGATGTTTCCGCTACAGCCTAACTCGAACTCATAGACCTGTGTATGGAAACTACTTTTTCGTACGATCAATAGCATTACCAACAGCTGGAAGGAGCCCCGATGGGATCACTTATCACCGGCTTCGTCGCCGAGACTGCAGTGCAGAAACTAGAAGACACGGCTCTTCCGTTAGTTAACCTTAAGCTTTGATTGCGATATGTAGACGACACATTTCTGATCGTTAAAAAAGGATCAACTGGAAACGCCCCACAATACGATCAGTTTAACAGTGCCGGGGACTTAATTCACACTCGAGAAAGAAATTGACAAAGAACTCCCGTTTTTAGATGCTCTCGTGCAGCGAAGGACTGATGAAACATTGCGCATATCGGTATACTGCAAAGAAACGTATGCGGAGGTCATTCTGCACTATATGTGAACAACCACCCTATTTTCCACAAACGGAGTAAGATCAACAGTCTGCTTAGTCGAGCGAAAACACACCGCTCGGACGAAGAAGGCTACCAAGCCGAACTAAATTATTTGCATGAATTATTTTCTCGGAATGGGTACCCCAAGAGTTTTGTGCGCCGATGCATAAGCCAGAAAGAGTCAGAAGAAACGGAATAAAGTACTTCCAATCGGTCATCGGAGCCAAATACTTGGCGAACTCTCTCTTACATTAAAAACGTATCTGAACTCCTTGAAAGGCACCTACGGAAACGCCAAATCCTAGTGGCACACAGACCAACGACTACCTTACGCACTCAGATAGTACACCCTAAGGGTAGAGTCAGCTATTTGGATAAAAAGGAAGTCGTTTGCAAGATCCCGTGTGAGGCCTGTGATGCAGTTTATTGTGGTCAAACAGGAAAATCCAAATTTACACGCATTCGCGAACACCAGCTGGCAGTAAAGAGGCGAGACCACTTGTCTCAAATGACTATGCACACGCTTGATAGTGGGCACACCTTCGCATGGGACAAAATTCGTATCGTCGGAGTTTGCCCATCTATAAAGGCCGGGAGTTTCTTGTTGCTATGCGCCCCGACGAGTCATGCATCAATAGGCATATCGAGTTACATGACACGTACAAAAATCGCAGGGGAAAGTGGAAGAGATGAAATCCAATCGATACAGACTGACGCACACGGCGGCTGCTTACCGGCTGAAGCACCAAATGAACATTGATTTCTTATCACGTTTGAGATGTTTATTGTTTATTGCACATTTACCCAAGTCTGACGACGACCTGGGGAACCAGCGTCGAAAACTTACTTAATAAAGTTTTCTCCTTTTCCCAAAGAACGTATTTGCCTTCAAATTATATTTCTTGGGATGCCTGCGTTCCAATTCATAGCGTGTTCTGTACAGAACAACTGGAGAGGGGCTTGGAGAGAGTTGGCAGCCGGACATGGGTACGTCCGGCGACGCGAGAACGAGGCGTCCCGAGTGGAGTGAGCTCGGTATGTGTCACTGCGCCTAAAACGAGGTCACTCTGATTCGGCCTTGAAGGTGATTGGTCAGTTTGAAAGCAGCTGTAAGCGGGCGAAAACCAGACTGTTGCTGGTGTGCACGTGCAAACGCACGTGCGAGAGGCGCACAGCTGCAACAGGCGTCGGGAGTAGGGCCACTACCGGTTCACGATGGCAGATCTGTGCGTGGTGACGAAACTGGCAACGCCCATGGGTTGGACCTTTGTCCTCGTTCGCACGCCCTTGAAAGTCCACCTGCCATCTGCACCGAAAACGCCGTGTGCAAGACGCCTTGATGTCGCCAAACTGCGACATCCCAGCACTACTGAGGCCCTATGTGCACGACCCGGGTGGACGGAGAGGGCAGTAACCAGTGGTCATCATTAAAGTTCTCGGTCTGTGGGGCAACTGAGGAAATTCTTGGATTCACTCAGCGACGCCACAGCGACTGGATCTGCGGAAGAGCCTTTCAGTTGTCTGCTCGAACCAGTTTTTGTAATGAGGATTCCTTCTGTCAACTCTGAAAAATGACAGAAAACATATTGAGCTGGAACAGCGACCTCCATGGAACAGGCCTCAAACATTGGTGATACTCGAAAACTGCGCCAAATTATCCGCCAAGTTAGTGGTGAGCCCTCGACAGTGACCAACTCTGTTCGTCATACGAACCTCGGCTTTATTGCTGACAAATCAACCAAGGTCGATCGCTGGCGTGGGCACCTCAAACACCTTGTCAACTTTGTTGGACAACCCATCACACCCTTGCCCTCCTCCCCAGCGCAGATTTATCTCTCCAACCTATATAGTGTCATGCAACCCACCGCCTTCCGAAGAAATCGCTAATACAAAACAAACGCTGCGCAACAATAAGGCTCCCGGAGCGGACAGTATTTCCGCTGAAATCTGCAAGTCCTGTGTCGACATCCTGACGCCAAATCTGCTGCCGAGGATTGTCACACGGAGAAAAGTGCAGTCCGTGGCATCATTAACGCCGACGCATCCAGTACAGGTAAGTTCAAGTCAGAAGGCGTGGGATCCAAAAGATCTTGATCTTTCTTAAATGAGCAGGCACCAACAACGCGAGTTTTGTCCCAGGCCATTTTACTTCCAGTTTTAAGCTTATATTTGCAAATATGTGTAAGAATATCTGAGATTCAGAAATCTTATTATGTTCAGCCTCTCCCGAAAAAGAGGAGGAGGAAGAAGAAGAAGAAGAAGAAGAAGAAGAAGAAGAAGAAGAAGAAGAAGAAGAAGAAGAAGAAGAAGAAGAAGAAGACAAAAGTATATGAACCGGAATATATTTGGACTGACGTTACGAATCTTCCTCGTTTTCGTCAAAAGATGATGGTGCTGATACTTCAATAGCAGGAAGAATTAACACACCACTCCAATGAGGAAAACGATGAAGATTCCGAAACACCAGTCCAAATATATTCCGGTCCATGAACTCGTACCTTCTTTTTCATCGTCTTCGGGGGGTGGTGAACAAAGTCTATATATATGTATATATATGCAGAATATTATTACCGACAAAGACAAGGAAGACTAGAATGGCCATTTCTGGTTTATTAGCCGCCGTCAGCCAGCCATACAAAAACTCGAAGTGTGAAACACCCGAGCCTCGAACTCGCGAACTGTTGGTTTAGAAGTCTACGCCTCTACCCACCGGACCACGAGCACGTTGCCCTGTCGGTTTTCGATCGGGAATATACAATGGTAGGGGGCGCTCATCGATCGTTCATACGGAACTCACTCGTTCCGTTGTGCCTTAAGGGCTCTCTCTCGAGCCCAACCAGCAGCCGCACAGCGACGCATGATATATAGGCACAACGAGTGAGTTTCGTATGAACGATCGGTGAGCGCTCCCTACCATTGTATATTCCCGATCAAAAAAAACCTATAGGGCAACGGGCTCGTGGCCCGGTGAGTAGAGGCGTTGACTTCTAAACCAACAGGTCGCGAGTTCGAGGCTCGGGTGTTCCACACTTCGGGCTTGGGTATGGCTGGCTGACGACGGCTAATAAGCCAGAAATGGCCATTCCAGCCTCCCTTGTCTTTGTCGTTAATATCATTCTGCCTATATATCATGCGCCGCTGCAAGGCTGCTGGTTGGGCTCGAAAGAGGGCCCATAAGACACCACGGACGAGTGAGTTCCGTAGAAACGACCGGTGAGAGTTCCCCCAACCACTACATATATATACATACTTAGGAAGGGCATGCGTAAACACGAGGGACAGAGAGTCACTTCAGTGGAAGAGGAACTTGTGTCCGTTAATGCGTGTCCCACGACGTAGGCCTGTTTGGCCAATATAAACATGAAGACAGTTGGCACACAGGATGTGGTAAATGACACTAGTTTGTTGTTCTTTGGGCAGCAGGTTCTTTGTTCGGCATAATGTTACGCGTAGAGAGGATGCGGGCTTGTGGGCGATGGAGATGCCAAAACGTTTCAACTGTTAGGAGATCGTTTCAGAAATGCTTAGAATATACAGCAATGAGTAGAATTTGCGCGGCACTTTATTAGAGTCAAGACTTTGTGGCTGTCTCTGGCGTCTGAGACAATTTTTTTACAAAACTGGTCGGATATTCGTCGATTCAGAATAACCGATGTGAGTAGACCGGTTCTTTCTTACATAAGTCATTACTGCTGCAGATATGGAAGCCCCGATGGAAAAGAGTGAGAGCACAGCTTCTTTTATTGGCCGCAGAATGATTGCTTCCACAGTTAAGAATGATTTTGACATTAGGGTCTTTTTGGCGGACGCTCGTTGCAAGGTCGCCATCACTGAGTGTTTATATACTTATATTTAAAAACGGGAGGGTATCTCCTGTTGCTTCTTCTCGGGTAAACTGTATAGCCGGGAAGACGCTTTTTAAGTTCTGGTGTACCACATCAGTTATTCAACATATTTCTGGGCGTCGAACGCTTATCCTTACCAGACGTTGGGAGAAATTTGCACAGAGGCAGGTGACGCCTTACGAACAGTTAACTTTTCTCCACCGCTGTCGCGATCATGGTGTCCTACCGAAGTCCCTCCGATTCAAGCCCACCCTACCCAATGAGACCGGAAGACGACTTGCACGCAAGTATTGATTTCGTGTTTTGAGTGCCACTATATCCGACGTCCACCATCGTCTTTGCCGCTTCGAAGCAACAATCTCTGACCTTAGAAGCCGATGCGCCTAATACTTACCCGATAACCTCATTTCACAAATACTTCACCGAATAAACGCCACAACCAAAGACGCCAGAATGAAAAAAACGGGCCGATCTGCAAAGGAAACTACAGTCTCTTCTTTGCACGGCCAGCGAAAACCGAATATCTACGAAGGTTGCTAATCTTTCGAAAAGGGATCTAACCTCCACTGAAATCAGCCTCCTGTCTAAGGGAATAAGATTCAGTCACACCGATGCTGCATCTACGGACTTCCTAGCCAACCTTGAATCCCTCCTACTGACCTCCGACGTCCCTGATGACATGTGTGAGGACATTCGCAGTTGCGCCACTGGTCTCCTATGACAGAGGCAACTCCATTAAACCCTACCGACCGAAGAGGAAAAGGCGTTGCGATCGCTGAGGACAGACGGCAAAATAGTTATTATGTCTGTTGACAAAGGAGGAGCAACCGTTATTATGGACAAGGCTGACTACGTCAACAAGGCAAACCAAATCTCCGATGATAGGGAAGCCTATGCGTCACTCGATGTAGATCCAACGAAAAAACAAGCCGCGGCTATCAAGAAGAAGGTGAATGAGCTTGCCCGATTGAAGCTCATAAGCCCCGATGACAGCAGATCTATGGCCCTCAGTGACCCCCCGTATCGCACGTGCGTACGGTCCTCCCAAGGTGCACAAGACAGATGCGCCGATGAGGATCATTGTGCCACTTATTGTATCCCCTACTAACAACCTTGCCAAGTGGTTATACAGACACTTAAAGCACCTCACAAATGGATCGCAGTACAGCATCAAAAATTCTCAGGCTTTCCTACAAAAGATCCAAGGCCTTGAAGTAAGTCCTGACGAATGCCCTGTTTTCTTCAATACTGCATGACCTAACGATTGACAGCGTAGCCCGATGTCTAGGGCAAAGTCCCATTGGCATTCCAACACAGCATGTTCTAGACATGCTTAAGCGTTGCCTCAAGAATTTTTGTCAGTTCGATGACAAGTACTATCAACAAGTAAAGGGCACCCCAATGGGCTCCCCAATATCAGGGCTGCTTGCAGAACTAGTCTTGCAGCGACTTGAACAGGATGTTGTGCAAACCTTCGAACCAAAAATGTGGCTCCGCTACGTGGACGACATATTTGTCATCATAAAGGCCAACGAAGTTGAGCGATTACACCAGAACTTAAATAGCGTCTTCCTGGCTATAGAGTTTACTCGAGAATAAGCAACAGGAGATACCCTCTCGTTCTTAGATGTGAGCATACAAAGACTTAGTGATGGCAAACTAGCAACAAGCGTCCACAGAAAGGACTCTAGTGCTGAAATCATATTTTACTATGGGAGCAATCATCCTGCGGCCCATAAACGAAGCCGTGTCCGCACTCTTTTCCATCGGGCCTATCACATTTGCAACAGTGGTGACTTTCTTAAGAAGGAATTGGTCTACTTTCATCGGTTATTCCGGCCCAACGGATATCCTGTCGGTTTTGTAAAGAACTGTCTCAGACGCCGGAGACAACTACCAAGCCCCGAATCTAATTGAGATAGAGTGTCACAGAATTTCTATTCACTGCCGTGCATTCAGGGAATTTCTGAAACACTCTCCCGACAATTAAAACGCTTTGGCATCTCCATTGCACATAAACCCGCATCTTCTCTACGCGAGGCATTATGTCGAGTAAAGGACCCGGTGCCCAAAGAACAAATTACTAACGTCATCTACCGTAGACCGTGCGCCAATTGCCCTTCTATTTATATTTGCCATGCAGGCCGATGTCTTGGGACTCGCATTAACGGGCATAAGTTCGTCCTCCTCTGAAGTGACCCTCTGTCCCTCGTGTTTACGCACGCCCTTGAACATGACCACCGCTTCAATTGGGACGGTACTGAAGTGATCGCAAGGGCTAACACCAGACAGGCGCGATAATTCCTCGAAGTTTGGCATTCTGGCACGACCAGCATCAACCGCCACGTCGATCTAGACGCTCACTACGAGGGCTTACGTACACGCTCACAGTCTTGTTCCCACACCCTAACAACTGCTAACCCCCCCTCGGCCACATAGACTATGCTGTTTCGACATTCCGCTCCCTCCCCCCTCCTTGCGACACGGTGAACAACAACCGAAACTCCCTAACACCTCCAACGCCGGCGCAATGCCCCTGACCTCAGCCCGCATCAGTGACCAGCCGCCCGCATTCCCACTGATCCGTAATCCCCCGCGTTTTCTCCACCTCCAACACTGGGAGCCCTAACGGTTCTTCCTTTCCTCCCCCTGCCACAAAGCCTACGATAACTCGGTGCCCACTCCTCTCACGCATCAGCCGTCTGTTTGTCGTTGCCTGTCCTGTCGCGCCAGCCGACCAAGTCTGCCCATTTCACTTTTCCCGCTGTTCATTTCGTCTGACGACGGGTCGGTGTCACCGACTTGAAAATTCACGAGTACAACTCGATTATCCGAAGAGCCTTCTTCTTTTCATTATATCACCTCGGAATGCATTAGGGGGCGCTCACCGATCGTTCATACGGAACTCACTCGTTCCGTTGTGCCTTATGGACTCTCTCTCGAGCCCAACCAGCAGCCGCACAGGGGCGCATGATATATAGGCAGAATGATATTACCCACAAAGACGAGGGAGACTGGAATGGCCATTTCCGGCTTATTAGCCGTCGTCAGCCAGCCATACCCAAGCCCGAAGTGTGGAACACCCGAGCCTCGAACTCGCGACCTGTTGGTTTAGAAGTCAACGCCTCTACTCACCGGGCCACGAGCCCGTTGACTTGTCGGTATTCGATCGGGAATATACATTCTGCCTATATATC